TAGCATTTTAAAAAAGTAAATCAGAGCTAAAAAAGTGCAAAAACACAGGCAAATTTGCCTGCGTTGGTCTACATATTGAGGGATATATTTTTAATAAGACCAATACTATGAATAATTAATGTACGTTTTAGACAAATTTTATATTTACCAATAAAAAAAAAATTATTTTTATTCAATTTAATTAAATATATTATTTAAAGTTATTGTACATTATTAAATAGTTCTTTATATATAATAACAATATATACTAATTTAGTGTGAATATTTGCCGCTTATACGCTTCTAATTTGATAAATTAAGCCCTAAATATCAAAACTGTTTCTTGTAACCTTTACTATCTTCATAATTTTAGCCTAACAATTAATTAAATACTCAAAATAACATGCATACCAAACCTTCACATCTTTGTCAACTGGATACCTAACAAATAAATCAAAAACATTTTGTAACAATAGTGATACTATAATGCGGTTGAAAAAAATTTACAACAAACGATACTTGTAATAACAAAGAGACGTACCACTAATAAAATACAATACAGTAATATCAAAAATCTACTCGTAAAGAAGACAAGAAAATTAGCTAAATTTATAGCAAAAAGAAAGAAATAATACAATAAAAAACAAAAAGCTAAGCATCAACAATAATAGACCCACGCTACTAATTATATATGACGACAATACCAAAAACCTATCTAAAAAAAAGGTACAATATTAATTTATCAGTCAGATTATACCAATTAAGAAATTTATCAGTACCTTTAGCATTTGTCTGTTTATTATATAGTTTCCAAAATTTAGTAACAGTAAAGTTATGCCTAGTTTTATAAATAAGTAATTGTGCTTCTATGAAGAAGTAATTAAAGATCTGTTTGAAATAGGACAAGACTGTTAGTAAATATTCAGAAAAAAAATTTTGAATTATATGTTAAATTATATCTACCAAAAGCCTTATCAGCCTTAATTTTCATAACCACAATAACATTTGCTTGTTTATTATATAGATTCCAAAAATTAGCAGTGATATAATTATGTTTGGTTTTATGAAGAAATAATCAAAGACCTACCGAAAATAGCAGTTTGCTTTTTATCACAGGCTTCAAGAGGTAGCAGCTGCCTGGTTTTACAAATAAGTAATCAAAGACTTATCCAAAAAAATAGCTTTTTATTGCATAGATCCCAAAAGGTAGCTGTTCCATGAAAAAGTACCCGAAAATAAAGCACAAAAAGAATGAAAAAGACAACAAAATGATGAAGTTATTCATTACCAATGACTGCACCAAGAAAAAAGATCCCAACAAATGCAGCTTCAAATTGTCTAATTAGAAGCTCAAATTAAACACCTGAACATGCAAGTTAAGAAAAAGTTTGTGTATAATACTTTGTAGCAAATAGTAGACAATACAGAAATGTAGTACCTAGATGATATATATGCGCACCTTGTTGGATCGCCTAAAAATAGTAGTTAGTAAACTTTTGCTTTGAACGATTCATTATTAAGAATAAACAAATTTTCAGTTTTGACTTTCATTCTTCTTGTTCAAAATATAATATTTGGACCTCTTTCAAAAAAAAGGTACCATGTTTCTAAAGAATTGAGAATTGACTAATAATGATCTCCCACTTCCACATGAAGCAATTAGAAAACTTCTTGTCTACAAGAAAAAAGAAAAAGTACAAAAAATAAAATTTAAATTAGTAATGAGTATACTGGTATATAAGACATTTAAATTTTCACTGATATATATATGTGCATCTAGTACTACATTCATGGCCCGTGTTATTTACAATACCCAATTAACGTAAATTATAGATGCCCCCTAAACTGTGTTTCATAAATTAAGATTTAGCAAAAATCTCAATTTTAGTTTGAGAACCGCTCTATTTTCAAGGCAAAGACTTCATATGCTTTTTTTTTTATTTATATAAAGAAGAAAACATATAATTATGAAAACAAAAATACTTATATCTTATAATCTACTAGGCCAATTTTAATATTTTAATTGCTATTTTGATTGCAAGACACTTTCTACAACTTTTATTAGAAGTTGAAAATAGGTTTACTTAGTAAAGAAAAAAGTTAATTAAAAAATTCTAAATTTGCAAATTTTAATGACAAAAAAAATATTTAATAAACATATTTTTACTGTTTACTATGTTTTGTTACTAAATCTAAATACTATAGTGCACTGACCAAAGTACCCCTTTTTTGAGTATCTCTCTGTGTAAAGTACCCAGGTATTTTGCATAGCACTTTTTTTTTTGCCAAAAATAATACCTAGATATTTTATAATTATTGAAGGTGAGATTTTTGTATTAGATCCAAGTATTTTATATTGTACAATACCTAATATAATAATATTACTGAATAAATACTATTATGAAATATTTAATACTTAAAAGCTATCAATGTATCAATTTTTGTAAAATGAATACCAGTAATTTGAAACACTAGCAGCAATAATAATAGTATACACCTAATTTTGAATTTTAATAACTCTCAATATAAACAACCAAAAAATATTAAAGTATTAGTATTTGACATTATAACAGTTTCTATTAAAGAAATGACTTGCAAATTTTGTGTAAATTTTATAACAAATGCAGTTTAAAAAAAATATCATATGACAGATAACAAAGTGATAACAAAAAAATTTTGTAGTAATGTGATTGTTGGATAATTTTTTTAACATAGTATGTAATTTGTATATAATTTATATATAATTTGTTTTATCAGATCAGAAGTAGTCAGTAATCACATTATTATGAATTTTTTTGCCACCACTTTTTGTTATTTTAAAATAATTAGTAAATTATATAAGCAAGATACAAAATTGATTTTATTCAATTTGATTATTTAAGAAAAAAAAAATTGCATTTTTTTTTCATTTGCTTACAATTTTATATTAAAATTTTCAGATTTTCGGTTTATTAACTCCAATCTTGAATGATCATTAAATCTTTGCTTTCTTCATAGTAATCACTATAAACTAATCTACTTTTATTTTTATTCATGTCTTCTTCATCTACATTATTTTTACTATCAGTTTTACCATCTCTTTTATCATTATTTTCACTATTATTTTCATTGTTATCTTCATTATTATTTCATTTCTCAATTTCTCTTTCTGAATTTATTTGGCTTGTAAGTCTTGTAAAGTTTAAAATTAAATCATCTTTGGTTCTATCCATCACATTAGAGATTCCACAACATTTAAAAGACTTCATAATCATATTAATATCGATGGCTTCTCAAGTCTCTTTTACCCAAGTAGCAACCAAAAGATAAGAGAAACATTTCATTTTGCTAGCTTTAGTGTTTTTTTGATTCCTTCATCTATCTATTAACTATAAAGATTAAAAAAAAACTTTTAATTTAATAATTTTTTGTTTTACTTTTCTATTTATTAGATTTTACCTTTGATTTAAACGATTTATTCATGGAAATATTGAGAGGTTGTAAGTGAGATGTTAAACCTTTAGGAATTAAAGCCAAGTCAGTATTCTTTTCCCAAAATCGTCATTTTACAGAATCTGTTTTGTGGCTAGCAAATGAATCCAAGATTAACAAAGAATGTAGATTATTTTCACATTGTGCTTATTGGGTTCAAATATTTTCTATCTATCTAAAGATAAGTAAATTTTAGTCTTAACCATGACATGCATTATAATCGTTTAAGTTTTTATATATACTATAATATCTTGTTTTCATTTATCTATTCTGAAGAGTTTGCATATATAATAACACTATTAGAAAAATTTTCACAAAGTACTTTAACTAATTTAAAGATAATTAGAGGTGACAATTTAGTTCTATTGGCCATATAGGTGAGAACAACAATAAAATTCAAATATTTATGTTTAGTTAATAATAGAATTAATATAGTTTTAGTACCTTGTTGTTCAATTGTAGTATTACTTGATATATTAAAAGACATAGCAGTTTCATCTATGTTACTAATTAAAGATAAAAGATAGTCATTTTTATGCTGCTTAAAAAGTACAAGAAACAAAAACTCATTTTGATCCTCAATATAACTTTCAGGAAAACATTGGGCAATGATAGTCTGTCTTCGATTTATTAAATTATTTCTAGACAGTAAAAATTTATTATTTTGAATTTCTTTATGTTTTTCTTAATATCAAGATGTAGCGCACAATGTGCAAGCTTTGGCTTGAATCATATACTGGCTTATAGTTTTTTGCTAAAATCGAGCTTTTCAAAACCATTTTGGCTGGGCCCCAAGTAACAACTTTTGAATATAAGGTGCAACTTTCAGAAGGTCGGTGTAATGACCGCAATGGAAATGATTTAAGAGCAAGAGAAGTTGTTTAATAAATTGAACAGACTAGCTTGTACAAAAGGTTTGTATGATCCTTATATACTACTGCAAATTGCACTACAATTACTAATACTAACTACAAATTACTTATTATTCGATAACTACATAATTCATGCATTGACTATTCAATGACTACATAATTCATACCCATTAATTAATCTTTGACTGATTTTCGCTATTATGTATTAATTATTACTTTATAATTTATGCGATGATTTCATGGGTTCGATCACGGGCATGGGTCATGGGTCTAGATCACGGGCTTACGGGATCAGGGCTTGGTTGTGACCGATCTTACAGGCTTGCAGATTTGGGGCTTGGTTGTTACACCATCTCCCCCTTAATGGTCCTTCCTTTGAACTTTTGGCTTTGTGCTTCGACTTTCTTTGCCCTGGTTTATCAGGATAGCGTTGGTAAAAGACTTCAACAGCTTCCTGGGCATTGGCTACATTCTCCACGGGTTCCCAGAATCGCTCATTGATGTCATAACTCTTTCAGTCAATTAGGTAGTAAAGTTTCTTTCGAATTAGTTTAGCATCAAGTATTTCTTTAACTTCATATCGGTTGTATTTTCAAATGTTATAGAAGGTGGTGGTTCCAATGATCTACCTGGAAATGAATTAGTTATGTATGGTTCTAGCAAAGAGACGTGAAAGATGTTATGCAGTTTGGATGTAGGAGGTAATGTTAAATGATATGCTACGGGATTGATTATTTCTGAAATAGAGTACGGCCCCAATTTTTAATAATCCAATTTTTTGAAGGGCCATGTGGTGTGAATGTGGCAATATAAAAGCCAGACTTTGTCACCCACTTTGAAGTTGGGACTTTCTAGGCATTTTCGGTTTGCATTGGATTTATAATAGTCTTGAGCTACTTTCAGTTTACTAATAAGTGTTTCTTTTATTTGCAGTAGATGAGTGGCTTTATCTTCCACCAAAGGTACCGAAGAATGGAATGGTGTTTGTAAGTCGAAGTGAGAATGGAACCCATAATTGGCAAAAAAGGGTGTGAATTTGGTGGAGGCGTGGACCAAATTGTTGTAGACGAATTTAGCTAGTGGAAGTAGGTCTGCCTAATTATCTTGATGGTAGTTGATTGTACATCTTAGGTACTGTTCTAATACCTGGTTAACTCTTTCACTTTGTCTATCCAACTGAGGGTGGTAAGCTGAAGATAGGTTGATTTTGGTGCCAAGTAAGTGGAAAAGGTGACTCCAGAATTTAGAAGCAAATTGGGGCTCCCTATCTGAGGTAATATCTTTGGGAATTCTGTGAAGCTGTATTACTTTTCTTAGAACTAATTGCGCTGTTTGCTCAGCGTTAATGTCTTTGATGCACGTGACAAAATGCGCCATTTTAGTCAATTGGTCAACCACAACAAGTATAGAATCGAATTCCTGAAATGTAGGTAAATCTGTGATGAAGTCCATAGAGATAGACTGCCATTGCTGAGTGAGTATAGGCAAGGGAACAAGCAGTTCGTAAGGATGATGTCTGGAAACTTTTAACCTAGCACAGGTATTACAAGTTCTAATGTATTCTTTTACAAAAGAACGAAGCTTAGGCCACCAGTAATCCTATGTTATTAATTCAATTGTTTTCGCCACTTCAAAATAGCTAGCCATCTTAGAATCATGCCTTTTTTGCAACACGTCTAACCTTTCTAATGTGTTAGGAATATATAATAGGCCTTCTCTGAACAGCAGCCCCTCGGAAAACTGAAACTTATGATAGTCAGAACGCTTACTCCGCTTGTCAACTATCAGTAGCTCCTTCTGGTTGATTATGTCTAAAGCTAGAAGGTTATTTCTCAGCTGGTTTCGAATTCGGTTTCTCATAGCGGTGTCGATTGGTGTCACCATCGTAGCATCTAAATAAAGGTTGTGTCCTTTTAAAAGAGTAGCACTTTGTTGTGTCACAATTTCATTGCCATCCTGGGGCTGGTAATCCGAGCATTTAGATAATGTATCAGATTTATCTTGTTCCTTACCCAACTGAAAAACAATCTTAAAATTGAAGCTTGAAAGGAGAAGTGCCCATCTAGCTTGACGACGACTGAGTTTTTTTGCAATGGTAAAATATTGCAGGTTTTTATAATCACAATGGATAGTAATTTCGTGTTGGGCTTCTTTCAGATAGTGGCGCCACTATTTGAATGCTGCTATAATTGCAAGTAACTCCTTGTCGTGAACATCATAATTGATTTCAGCAGGTGTGAATTTTCTTGAATAGTAGGTGACAGGATGAGAGTTTCCATCATGCAGTTGAGACAAGACTGCGTCTAGAGCATAGTCGAAGGCATCAGTTTCGAGGAAATATGGTTCTGTAGGGTTAGCTTGGATCAAAATTGGGGCAGAAGTAAATATCTCTTTCAAAGAGATGAAGGTTTGATGAGCTGCTAGAGGCCAAACAAAAGTTTTTGTTTTGGATTTGCGGGTTAAATTAGTCAAAGGTGTGACCAATTGGAAATAACCTTTGATAAAGTGGTGGTAGTAGTTGGCAAACCCCAAAAATTGTTGCACCTCTCGAACTGAAGTTGGGATAGGCCAAGTAAAAAGGCTTTCGACCTTTGTTGGGTCTATTTGGATCCTCTGGCAGAAGATAAGGTAACCCAAAAAATTAACACATTCTCTGTCAAATTTACATTTTTCTAACTTCGCAAACAAGCCGTTTTGACGCAGCCGCTCCAATACTAATTGTACATGTCGGTTATGAGTTCTTTGATTGAGTGAATATATAAAAACATCATCCAGATAAATAATCACAAAGCAGTCCAAGAAATCCTGAAATATATCGTTCATCAGATGTTGAAACACAGCTGGGGCGTTGGTGAGCCCAAAGGGCATCACCAAGTACTCAAAATGACCGTAGCGTGTATGAAAGGCTGTTTTCTATTCGTCCCCCGGCCTAATGCGAACTAAATTGTATGCCCCTCTCAAATCGATTTTTGTAAAAATTTGGGCAGAGGAGAGTCGGTCAAGTAGTTCAGGTATTAAAGGAAGTGGATAATGGTTTTTGACGGTAATACAATTCAGGCCCCTGTAGTCTACACACATGCGTAAAGTACCATCTTTTTTTTTGACAAAAAGTACAGGTGCTCTTGCCAGAGACTTCGAATGTTGGATAAATCCTTTTTCTAAGTTCTCCTCGACGTATTTTTTTAGTGTTTCAAGCTCCTGTGTAGAAAGCTCATAAATGGGCCCCCAGGGAGGTTGTTTTCCGGGTAACAAGTCAATAGTACAATCATACTGATGGTTCTCAGGCAATTTGTTAGCCTCCTTCTTATTAAACACATCACTAAACTTCTTATATTTATCAGGGAGTGCTAGGGAAGAGTTTGATGATTCAAGAGAGTCAGAACTAGCTGCAATAGTGGAGAAAACTTTAATCATAAATATTTGTTCCCCAGAAAAGGTAGCTAAATATTTGTTCTCCAGAAAAGGTAGCTTTCGTTCTTGGCGGTGCTACACTTGAAAGATGGTCTCTACAGCTAGGGTTAGAAAAGTCAATGGAACACTCACACCAGTTGATTTTTGGATTATGAAGGATCAACCAAAGTAAACCAATAATCATTTCATAATGTGGGGATGAAATAAAGTTGAAAGATATTTTTTCAAAGTAATCTTGAAAGTGTAAAGTTAGTGGCCCTGTTTCGTGTTTCACCATCTCAGATAAAATTTCATGACTATCAATCACCTCCACCAATAATGGCGTCTCTTTTTCAGAAATAGGTAGGTTATATTTTTGTGCTAAAGTCATATCCAAAAAACAGGCTGAAGCTCCAGAATCAATCAAAGCCTATACGCTTATTTGGGTACTGTCTGGCAGGTGTAGGAATAAAGCCAAGGTAAGTGCAGACATAGGTTTGTCAAGTGATAATATGTCAGGGGGTGAATTAGTTACATGGTCCAGTCGAAGCCCTCTTACTGCGACTGGGTCACCTCTTTTCCCAACAATTCGTCTGAGGCAACTAAAGCATCGATTCTGGGTGGTATTTTGTTTTTCTTGAAACAGTTCTTGGCGATATGGCCGGGTTCATCACAGTAGAGACAGAGATTATTGGTGCGGTGTCGTTTTTTTCCGCCACAGACAGTGGTTTGAATCAATTGTATCTATTTGTATGGGTTCTCCGGTAGAAACTGTTGGGCTATTAGAGGCTTGTGTTTGATGTTGTTCGAAAGTTGGGCCATATTGACATTCTTGCCTTCGTTCAAACAGCTGATTATCACATTTAACTGCTTTCGTAATAGCATCGGTCAAGGAAGTGGGGTTCTCAATAGTAAGAAGCAGATCTTTCACATCATTACGGAGTCCGTTTCTGAATTGATCTATGAGTGCTGCTTCGCCCCAGTTCAAATCATCAGCAATTAATCAAAATTCGGAAGCATAGCTTGAGACTGCTCTAGAACCCTGAGCTAGTTTTCGTAATTTATTGGCAGCTGTTCTAGCTTATCAGCATCGCCGAATGTTGCTTCAAATTCTTTTACTAATATGTCAAAGTTATCTAATAACTCTGATTGATTTTCTAAAAGAGAAGAGAACCAAGCCAAGGACAATAAGCTACCCAGAAGTCCTACTTGGGTTTGGCTATTAGGTAACGATTGGGTTGTATTTATATAACAAGACGAATTTGGTTTAAGAACTCTCTGAAATTACTCCTTGTACCATCAAATTTGTCTGAGAGGCTTACTTTGGGCTCTCTATAACGAACATTAACATCTTCTTGAACTTGGAGCTGATTGAGAGTATTTCTGAGTTCCGCATTTTCTTGATGTAGCACGTTATAATCTAGTTGGATTTGGTTTAGAGCCGTCAGTATGGCGTTGGGTGTTGAGATCAGGTTGGTTCTTCATTTTATGACCTAGGGTAATTTATGTGGTGTGTTGTTTCGGGGGTTTTTTTTTTTGTTGTTTTTTTTTTTTTTTTTTTTTTATATATATATATTTAAAAGGAGGAGCTAGAATAAGTAAAGACTAATAATTAGAAGATGTCCAGCACGAATTTAAACAATCGAAAAGCGGAAGATTAATCAATCAGAAAAGTGAAAGTATTATTATTATTATTATTATGTATATACTGTTTATTTGTTTTGTATTTAATTTGAGTATAAGAAAATACTAAGAATAACTAAGACAGAGGTAAGGTGAGGCTAAAATTAATCGAAATTGGCAAAAGTGCGAGAGCTATTTTATAATTAATAAATAGGTTGATCAATTGGACAACCAGGCGTACAGGGTTCTGGGTTTTGAAGATAGTTTGTTCAAACTGTAATGATCGCAACGGAAATGATTCAAGAGCAAGAGAAGTTGTTTAATAAATTGAACAGACTGGCTTGTACAAAAGGTTTGTATGATCCTTATATACTACAATTACTAACTGTAAATTGCACTATGATTACTAATACTAACTACAAATTACTTATTATTTGATGACTACATAATTCATGCATTGACTATTCGATGATTACATAATTCATGCCCATTAATTAACCTTTGACTAACTTTCACTACTATGTATTAATTATTACTTCATAATTTATGCGATGATTTCACGGATTCGATCACAGGCTTGGGTCACAGGACTAGATCACGGGCTTACAGGATCGGGGCTTGGTCGTAACCAATCTTACGGGCTTGCGGGTTCGGGGCTTGGTTGTTACAGTCAGGTTTTTTGCTTATTCAGTCCTGAAGCTGCTTTCTTTCTATTCCAAATTCATTAGCAGTTGAATGTTTACTATACTCTTTTTCATAGTAGACAACTATCATTAGTTTTTCATGTACTAATATGCTCTTTTATTTTTTTTTGTTACCTAAGCATGTCGAGCTTTAAAATTTTCACAGGCCATTTTGTTTCTTGAAAATAGTTTGTGCTGGTGCAGTTATTAAGTTTGTTTTAGTTTGCTGGTAATTGCTAGTAGTGGAGTTACTGCAGAGAGTTTTTGCTAATACTTTGCTCCTTCTGCAAAAATACTTAAGTTTTGACAATTTTTTATTTTTATTTATTTATTTATTGATTTTTTATTTTTATTTTTTATTTATTTAATTTGAACCCAAGGGCTACAAGCTAACAGTAATGTTTCGTTAATTTGTTCCAATAGTTAAAGAAATTTAAGAAGATATATGTACATATGTATATACGTGAAGTTCATTGATTTTCTTTTATATCAACTTGTATTACTTAAAATATATCATATATAATACCCCCAATACAAAATACCCCCCTAGCAAAAGACCCCCATATGCAAGATACCTGTCACTGATCAAGAAACCTATGGGTATTTTATAAGTTTTTTTTTGGTTAGATTGTTTTAGACCCGGGATACTTTAGTTAATGCACTATGATATGTTCATGAACCTTGAATTGAACCTGACTGAACCAAAACTTTAAGTTCAGGTTTAGTTCAAATTCATAAATTCAAAGTTCAGTTCAGGTTCAGGTTCAATGATCTGCAAATTTGTGGTTCAGGTTCATTAAACCTGAACCTAAACTAAACCTAGAAACCCTACCAGTATTTTGCCAGTACTATTATTTTAAAATTGAGAACTTTTTCTCAAGTAGATCTTGCCAAAAAAGAGTATACATGGCAAGTGTTTTGATGATCTATAGTCAGGGTTTTGGCCGAAACTTACTAAAAAAAAATTCTATGTAACGGTTTTACTATTACTCAAGTTACTCAGAGTATTATTTATAGAAATCTTGTATTACTATTTGTAAAATATAACATATAAAAGCAAGGATCCAAACTTATAACGATGTTAATAAGTTATAAAGTTCGGTTCTCAAAGAGATATTATATGCTAATTCGAACTTTATAATAAGATTTACAAATGTCTTAGAGTTTTGGGGAGAATTTAATAGTGTTCGGATTAGAGAGAGTTGACTGTACGTAGTAAAGGTAATATATACTGTATATGTCATTGCCCTTATTACGTACAAACTTATATTTTATTAAGCGTAATATCAGTAATGAGGTAATAACTTGTTAAATGTGGCGGTGATCGGCTAAACGCTAACAATAGAAATCTTGTTCGTATACCGATACGTAGCAACGGTTAGTGCACTATTCAAAGCAGTTCTTTTTATAAGCTTTAGCAGTAAACTAAAATATATACCTCAATTATTATGATATAGTATCATAATTGCTTAAATATAGAAATCACAAGAATGAATCATCTAATCAGATACGAATTAGATATACCACCATACTCTCCGTTGCACTCCGTTCCTGGTATTATCTGATAATTAATCCATCCAATCCAATTTAAATTCGATCTTTAAGAGTTTATCAATTTTTAAATCTGATTAAAAGTCTTGGTTCTTCTTTGGTATAAGTAGGCATATAGAATTATTATAATATATAAAAACTATATATCCATTTTGAGCTCATTTAAACTCTATGTAACACTCATCCTAATATATAATAATTCTATATACCCACCTATACTAAAGATTAATCAAAGTCAATTTTTAGTTTTAATATTACATCATTTAAATGCACGCATATTTATTTAATAAATCGGTGGTTTTTGAGTTGACACTGTTTACCGGAATAGGATATAGATTTGGGCTTTGGTCATAAATCCAAATTAAGTGGAATGCCAGTTCCCAAATCCAAGCTAATTAGTAATGCCGTAATTTAAAAAAAAAAAAGGTAAAAAAAAGGGTTGGATCGCAACCTTAATGTCGTTGACCCATATTGTATTCCAAAGCTGCAAGTCGTTGATGTAACATCATAACCATGTCTTGGAGCTATTTAACAATACATGCAACAATATTATATACAATTAATATTGACGTTATTTAGCAGTTCTCAAAAAATATAATTACCTTATTTATGGTCATTTGTTGCATCCTTGCACTTGGTAAAGTTTGAGTATCTAGTGGTACTGCTTCTGGATCTATATAAGAGCCACACTCGTATCTAATAAAACGAATTATCAGAGCGATTTGAAGTATCCTAAAAGATAATTTAAATAAAACTTACATTTTGACATTATTAAGATTAATAGAATACATGTCGCTTAAGATAAAAAAGGATTATCTGATTATTGGGATGTATGATATTTCATTAAAAATTTTCAACATCGTTATACCGTATATAATCCAGTTTTTTAGGAGTGGTACGCCAGACTTTGCCAATTGCCGCATTACATTCAGTACAGAAAATATTAACGAACGTGCTATTTGATTAAGTATAAGATTGCAGGTAAACCAAAATAATCATCCGAAAAAATAATTCTTTAAAAGTGCATCCACCTTCCAATATCAGCACCTTCTTTCGACCATATAAGATCTGTACCAACTCGAACATTATGTGGCTTAGCTAGTTTATGATAAAAAATTGATGAATAAGGAGTAACAAAACTCGCGTTAATATTCGCTATTTCATTAAAAAGACTTTCTAACCGTATAGCGCAACTGAATTTAATTCACGCTCAGCTGCTACGAACGCGAATGTATCGCCTACTATTACTTTGCATTTTATGCATTGAAAAACCAGCGGGCCTGTGAATTCGTATTTTACACGTTCGTGTTCGTTTGACGACTTTACCGTTTTAGATTTACTGTTTATTTCCTGTTAAAATCGAAGTTTATTCATTAGTGAAAGTGTGCAAGATCTGTATTATTCAGTTATAATACTAGCAAAAAATGTAACACAACCATTAGCTTATAATTCTAACGCAAAAAAAGCAAGGAAAAGTAATAACATATAGGAGGTGCTCCATTTATAAATTATAATAGCTATAAGCCGCAGTATTATTGGACATTGCGCGTGAAATCAGAGACCCGGATAATTTTGGTATAACGATAAGTTTCTTATTACCTACTATATCGGTATCAGGTATTAGATCATACAAAAATTAACAATAAAGTGTAACTTGAATTCTTTTTTTAGCAGGTTCTTAGAAGTCTGCGGCCAAAGATTTTCAAAACACTTGCCGCGTTTATTCTTTTTTCATCCTCGCGTTTTTTAAAACACTGGCCGGAAAAGACATAAAAAAATTCTTCCAAAAAATTATCTCGCGAACTATTAATTAGAATTATATGATTTTAGTGCCATTTGATTCGTCTTGATGAGACGAATAGAATAGTATGTAATTCTGATTAATAGTTCGCGAGATAATTAATTTTTTGTGAAGAATTTTTTTATGTCAATTCTGTAATAGTAATACTGTAATAGTAATTGTAATACGTAGTAATCGTAATAGTAATAGTAATCATAATAGTAATCATAATAGTACATTACTAAAAATTTTTCTTTTAAAAAAATCATAAAAAAAGTATTAAAACAGTGAAAATTTTACTTCGTAAGTACTCCATTGTATGTTTATTAATCATTATATGCGATCATTTTTAAACCTGTGCTAGAACTCGAAATGCAAGAACAAATGTATATTCCAGTATGTCTTTATAAATATTTAAAAAAAATTCTAGTCAACTTATATTACAAATATCGGATATATAGATTTTTATTTGAGTTATATAATTTTCATAGTACTGTAGTAACATTCTACAAGACCGACGTACTAATGAAAATTCACCATTTTATATCTCAAATCATTAATTGTCTAGAAAGAAAGGCATTGGAGTCATGTTCTGAAGTTTTATTAAAAAATAGCAGCTTACACAAGCAGCATATGTTCGGTATTGTTAAGACAGAAATGTTAACCAGATAAAGGCATTTTTATGAATATAAATTAATATTAAATATGGAGACTTGTAAAGGGTCTCGTTCTAATTTCTTTTGAACTTCTGATTGTTATGTTGAATTGGTGTTTCACAAGAGTGATATAGTGCCTATTATATGGTGAAGTTGATGATTGCTTAAAAAGTGTTCAGATGATGGAACCGAAAAAAAAAACCAGGTATTAAATAAATTAGATAAAATTATTAAACGTCATAATAATTCATATATACTAACAAAATTATTAGTGCAACAGATTACTAGACAATATTTAATGAATTTATTTGGATATTCGTTCAATTTTTGACCAGTGCCTGGATATATTTAAAAAATTAGGCAAATGAATATCCAGCTGATTAGTTGGCCAGATCAGACCTTTAATTATAGCTTATTTACGGCACAATACGTAACTGTAATAGTAACTTGCTGAATTCTAATTCCATTGCAACTTATTATTATGTCGATTTAATCCTGTTACACATAAATTTGTTTTGAAATTTTGATTGACTGTAATTTGACTTGTATTACAGTACTATCAATTTATTAAAATTCTGATGTCATTAGGATTTTAGTATTGTTAGGTTTAGGAGGACCCCGGATAATACTAATAGAAGTGAAATTATTAAACTGGACAAGAATTTTCAAAATTTTTACAGAAGTTATATTATTAAAAAGGCTTTTTAAATAAATCTAGTATTATAAAACTGGAATTAATAAAAAAAGGTTATATACCCAAGGTGGACATAATTTTATTAAAAATAAATATCTAATATTTTAAAAAAATCCATATACTAAA